TGACTTCAATGTTATTGTTTAGTTATGACTACAATATTATTGTTTAGTTATGACTACAATGTTATTGTTTAGTTATGACTACAATGGTATTGTTCAGTTTTTGTGCCTTCAGAATTTCATGAATGCGCATTGAATGTTAATTCGTTACTTTTGTAGATTGACTTGTGAGATTTTACTAATATTTCCAAAGAGTTAATTAATAATTCCGAAATGAATTTCTGTAATTTTGACGAATATGAAAGTATAATTTGGTCTAAACTCAAAAATATAAAAATATATATATATTTACGTTGCTTTTCTGTTTGTCTGTTTGTTTGTTTCCAAACATGACCCCAGGGAAGGTTTATGGATGATCCAAATTTCAAAAATTAGCCTCAAAATTCGATTTTAATTAAATTTGAAAATCCACGATTTTTTCTGTTTTTGTTTTACAATGTATACAAAAAGAAATTGTTTACAATTGAAATGGAAGAAGGGCTGTTATAAGTATTCAATTTACTTTCTTGTAAAGAAATAAACAGAAATGCTTAGAAAAAAAGCGAATAGAATTTCTACAGAACTTGTTAAATTGAACCATGTTCTCCTGTAAACTGTAAACCAAGTATATTATCTGAATCTAACAACTACGTGGTTCTGGCTGTAGATTCAACTCTCATCTTCTTTAGTAAAGACTGTCAGGTATATTCAATATTCATCCTTCAGTTCTTTGAGGGGAGGAAGGCCAATCACAAATATTTCTCGCCCGAGCCACATTCTCATTTTTTCGTCAGTGCCACCTCGAAATCCTCGTCCTTCCAATATTATTTTTTAAATTGTCTAATCCTCCCAGATAACACTATTTTTAAAGAATCGAACCACGTTAGGGCATAAATGAAATATCTAATTTTTGTGAATCGAAAAGTTTCAAGTTTAATGTCGTTAAAAATCGTCACCTTTTTTACGCGCATTTTCAGATATTCCTGGTGTATAATGCCGCAAATAATTCCGATTTTATAGAACTTAACCATAGTGAAAACCATAGAATTTTTACGGGTGGTTCCATGGAGAAAATGATAGGGCGAGGTATGCCGAATATTTTGCTATTTATTTTATATCACTAAGGTTAGCCATTACGGAGGCAGAAAAGATTTAAGTTTTACCTAAATAAAGTTAAACAACATTCTCATGGCTTTGAAGATTCCAACATGATGTAATCATTGCATTACTTTAGTCCGTTCATATTTTATGCCCTAACGTGGCCAGATTTTTAAAAAATAGTTTTATCCTCGAGAATTGGAATCTTTTAAACACATAACAATCGAAGGACGAGGATTCCGAGGTGGCTCGGAAAATGAGGAGAATGTGGCTCGGACGAGAAATTGTTGTGGTTGGCCTTCCTCCCCTCGTTCTTTAATATTTAAAATTTAATTTCATTTCGCTGAATTTTAAGTAATGATCTTATTTGTCGTAAACATTCAATGAATTAAAGATTATAAATAGCCTGCAACTTAATAATGTCCCTTGCTAAACTTAGAATGCACTCCTTCGTCCGTGAAAATGTTAAAAGTATACATACAGGGTGTCCCAATAAACATGGGAATAAAGTGACGACTTCTATATCGTCTTTGTTCCGCGCAACATTTTTACATGAACATAATTTTATTAATATCCCAGTTTAAATAGTTCATTATTAAATCTACAAGTCTTGGGAATTCCAAATTGTGGTTTACAATACAAAAATTGACGGAGATTTTTATAAATCTGCCAAGATACAAATTTATTATGAAAAAAACAAAATCGTTCAAATGTTTAATATCTTCGGTAATTTTGATAATTCAAAGAAGATTTTGGAAAACTCATGACATACAATTTTTATTTTGATACACGTTTTGTCATTTCACAACTTTCAAAAAGCGAAGACGATCTTCAAGTCGTCTGTTAATTCCTATGTTTATCGAGACACCCTGTATATGTCTTAATCACTCATGAATTCAGGATGCTGAAAGCCTTGTGTTTAACTCTAAAATAACCTGCCTGGCTCTCTCCTCCTCCGCTAACTTCATCGTATTAGGTAAATCCGAACCCCACACTTTACTAACTTTATGGTCGTGAGTCAGAATTGAACCCCTTGGCTTGGTTGGGGTCGTGATGGCGTTCCCCTGTTATGCCAAGGAGCTACTGGACAGTGGACAATCCCGATTTCATTTCATCTCGTTTCGTTTCGGGCTGTCGATGATATTTCAAGTAACCTTCCATTAAAAGAATGTCATATATATACAATAGTAACCTTGAAATACGATTAAATACGAAGAAAATTTTTTCTTCATTGTTGCTCAGATCTTGCCTTAGACCCATACCTCATTGGGCCAAGGGATCAAAAACTTTATTCAATTTAAAGAGTTAATCCTCAATTTTAAATATATGGTCGACTAGATATGGATTTCATTTTCTAAATCTACATCACAAACTAAAATTATACCCTATGAGCTGAAAACTTTAGAATGGTGGATATCGAGATTAATGCTTGATTCTCTCTTTTTCTTAATTTCGAGACTAATCTAATCTTGTACTTATATCCTGAAAAGTGTATAAAATTCAAGCAATCAGAGTCGCATATATGAAGCCGATAAATTTGAAATTGTGTGCGCCATTTAAGATTAATATACAGAAACAGGAGGAATTCTCTAATTTTAAAAACAGTTTTGATTTTTCTCCACTTTATCCAAGAAAAAACGATTTAAGAAGAAAATCAAAAGTGTGTTCATTGGATACTCAGATTAAGTAATCGAGATTAGGGATATCTTATTCTAAAGTTTTCAGCTCTGCTATCTAAGGTTTGGTGGAGGGACGGATGGAGTTTCTCCATGTTGCCACTAGAAAGATTCTCACTAGTATACCCATCCTGGATACTCAAACCGGGAACAGGTTAGTTTGTAAATAAATTTCTCTGTTTCAGCAGTTTTGAAATGAGGAAGTATTTTTTTATTCTGCTGTACCCTATTGGTTTTAAAGCATAACATTAACAAATGATTATTTGTCCAAACTTTAAAAATTCAAAAAAAAATATTTAAAAAAATGACACTTAAAATAAAAACGAAATGTAACCCATCTTTCATATATTTCATAAGTGGCATGCCTTAAATCTGCCCTATTTTACCAACAGAAGAAAAAAAACTTTTAATGCAGATTTATTATGTTAACCCTTTTAACTCCTACTACACAGTACACACCCTTAGGGGGTCCTTGGAGTAATCCAAAAACTAAACTTAATTCATGACATGGAATGTCAGTAAAATTTCTATACATACAGTTAAAACCAGAGAAGTGTTGAATGAATTAAGCATTCGGCCTCACTTGCTAAAGTTTTTGTGATTTTCAATTACAAATTTCTAAGTGATAATTTATTTCAAAATAAAAAAGACGACAAAGAATCCGCTGTTTTCTTGTTCTCGCTATAGCAATTAAAACAATAATGTGTTATCAAAATATTTTAAATAAAGGTTTTATTCTGCTGCCCTGCTGGGACCTGGAAACAATTCCAAAATATTTCTGGTAATGACAGGTAAGATTCAGACTTAACATTTACCATCATTTTTTGGAAATTAAAAAACCATGAAAATTATAAATGTTGTTTGTTTGTCTTCTTTATTTTTTTCTCAACTTTTTTATTGATTATGATGATTAGGGTTGGTGGTTAGTTTTGAGAATCTGAACCTGGATTTTCTCCACTCTGCCATCATGACTGGAGACTTAAACTCTCTCAAGTCCGCGCAGTCCTCCTTCGTGAAGTGCGAGTACAGTTTACCTCTAGATATAGATTGTGCACTGGTCTATATGGATTCTCTGTTCAGTACAAATATATTGGTATCCAGTACTGATGGATTAGCGAGGTTGGAGATCCAAGATGAAGAAATGATCATTTCTGAAGAACTTGAGTCGGAGGGTTTTGGAGGAGGGAAATTAATCAAACTAATCGCTGGGAAGGATAGGAGGTGTTTATACATCTTAGACAATCTGGGTCAAGTTCATATCATTTGTACTTTAACCTTGACCGTTCTCCGTAGTTTCAAGGACGTGAAAGTAACAGATCTGGTTCTCCTGGAGGAGGAGAACTCCAGCGAACTCCAGTTCCTCCTGGTTACTCAGGACAGCTCCGGATCCTACCTGGAGTTGAGGAACAGTAGAACCTACCAGGTGAACTACCGGCTCCAGGTATCTGAGTTGTGTGTACCCCTGGTTGCGGATTTATCTCAGGATACTCCTATGATGTTGGAAGGAACTGCAGACGATGTCATGGCTCCAGAGAATATTACAAAACTCAGGCTCAGGGGGATTACAGAAGGAATTCCACAGGTAAAATATATTTTGAGACTTGACATGGCCCAAGTAATGGGTTATGAAGTTATGACCGGTTTGTATTGAAAAATGTTTCCCTTAAAATACTATTAAAACTTTTTGATAATGAAATAAGAAAACGTACAAAATCAGAAAAATTTCAAAAAGGAGGAGAGGGGTGTCATATGGTATATTATGATAATCTTATGAGGAAAAAGAATACATCAAGATTATTTCATCTCGTAAAGAATTCCATTATTACATTTTTATCCTCATAAGATTATTATTATATCATATTTGTGAGGTTCCATGGGCATTGGGCACATGCCCAAGAAATTATATTAAAAAATAATTCTGGTGAAATCCGACTATTTCAAGTTGGAACAGTTCACATTATGAAAGGTTGCAAATAAGTTTTATGCTCTTGTTCTGACTATCACTGTTTTTTTATTTTTCTAATGTTAAAATGTAAAAAAAAATTGGTGCTTAATTTAAAAGTAATGCATGTGTTGCGATTGTTTCCTTAGTTTAGTTTGTTTGTTACCCAATTTCTAATGATTTTGCTCGTTTTTTTCAAGTTGATACTACATTTAGATACAGCATGTTTAATGTGCCCTGAGTTTTTTTTAGATGGAGAGGGTTTAATAGTGAATTGTCTTAATCTACTGAACAATATCGTGTCTTCATTTATAGAAGAAATCATTTCCTAGATATTAGATCCTAAATCTTCCAAAAAGAGGAGATAAACGCAGGTTATCTAGTAAGAATCAGTTCGACATGAACTGATGAAGATCTTTGTCTTTTATTCATGAAGCAAGATTTACTGGTTTGTTTCATTGCTATGGAGTGCTAAGACTCCATTAAAAGTTGTGACACTAATATTTCAATGATAATAATAATAATATTATACCACATTTACACAAATAATTATAATTATTACACAAAATGGGTGACAATAACAAGAATTTTTCCTGATTTGGCTACGTAGTAAATCTGACAAGAATGTGGTATTGTGGTATAATAAACAATAAGCATCTCTAGACACTTGGAACACATACAGCATCCTTTCTCTGGTCTGACCATTACACATAATTATATACTTAAAATTGGAATAAAAACCTTTTATGAGAAATGAGCTGAAAAATATGGTACTCTTTTCACTTTATAGTACAAGGCATATTTTATACAATTACATTTTCAGTGAATGCTCTCGAAGATGTTCCTCTGATTGTTATCCTCTTTTAGAAAAAAATACTTTAAAATAAAAGTTTTATATTCTCTTTCTTTTTATCTTAGGTTCGTTTAGAGAGGATCTTGAGACGGGGAAGGTTCGATGAAGCGGAAAAGTTTGCAGAAACCTTCGGACTAAATAAGGACTGTATTTACAGGGGGAAAGTATCCAGGCTCCTGGAACGATTATCCCCCTGGAACACGTCCACAGATGCGGAAACTAAAGAGAAACTGTTCCTGGACGCCAAGGAATGTTTATCGAATCTTCAGGATATGGAGTTTGTGATGGAATGTTGTAGTTTGGCAGCTCTGCCTAGTATTGAGATGACCAGGGAACTACTGGAGTTTGCTCGGAGAAGGATCGGAATTTTCTCCGAGGATAAACAGTTAAATGCTCGTAATTTGCTTAGAATTGGAGAAACCATGCATAGGCTTGAAACCTATGTAATAACAGAGGAGGAACAGAGCGTTGAATCCTGGATGAAGTTCTCTAGAGTTGATATCCTCTCAGAGATCAAGAAAACCTTGACAAGGGGAAATGTTAACACTGCCTTGTTGTACTGGGTTAGACATCAAGCTGAGTTGAGAAGTAGGATGGATCTACCTCAGATTCTAGATATTCTTTCCAGTCTTCCCGTTAACATATCTATACAGACCCAGCTGCGCTGGTTGCGTCAGTTCATCCCTGATGTATTGCAGATCCTTCCTGATTCCCTGCCAAGCTTAGCTGCTTGGGCCTGCAACAGCGTTAAGGAGCTAGAAGGGAACCATCACGACTGGCCTGAGAAAGGTCTTTGCTTTGCCGAGGATGTGTTGGCAACCATGCAGTTTGAGAAGTTTGATGATTTCAATCAGTTCCTTACAATCCTCACCCTTAACCAGCAGAGATCAGAGAATGATTCAGCTCTTTCTAAACTTATTAATCTTATCAACATGCTGAAAGATCTTCTCCAGCTTAAGACTGAGTTCAGGATCAAGATCAAATTGAGTGAGTTCAGCGTGGAAAACAAGTTCAGTGTTGTATCCAGTATCCTGGACTGGGTTATGCTTCCCGAGGACATCCCGAACCTGATGAATGGGTTCCTCACCCAGTTCATCCTCAAGTTTAAGATGAACGTTAACCAGACCCTGATGGAGTACACAATGAATCTGCTGCACAACACCAACTTCACCTGGCACTGGCATGTTGGGGCTGCGCCCTGGGAGGAGAAGGTTTTACAGCTCCTCCCCTTTATCACAAGCGTTGAGGAATTGAGCAACGTTATCCTGGAGGCTGTTAAACAAGCCCCTGTACCATGGAGCAAAACCATATTTGATATTTGTGAGATTGGTTGCGCACTTAAACACCCCAATTCCATGCAGATCAAAGAACAGAGCTCCTTAGTATCAGTTAAAGGTATATTCCGAAAGTACGATTGTAGGAACTATATGATGACGGGACGAGATGCTGAACGACTTTTTCTTTACATCCTCACCAAGGGCGGAGAGGAAGGATTTAAGGATATCCTAGAGGTGTGTAAAGTTATGGGGACCATGTCACAAAGTGAGGTGAAGAAAATGTATATTGAACACCTACTGGAGAATCAGATAGATCCTCTCAAAGCATTTCGTATTGTTCAAGACATCATGGAAGAATCCCAGGCTGATGGTGTCCTAGTGTGTGAGGAGATTATAAACAAAGCTGGGATATGTTTCAAGCTTGAGATAGGAGAGGAGGTGGAAACTGCATACTCTCAGCTCCTTCATAGCATTGTATCCACGTACTCCTCCAGATTGAAGAATACCCAGCTCCAGGTTAGCATTACAACTGCAGGATTTCTCCTCAACGCTCTGAACCTGAAGAATGAATTTGGATTAAAAACAGCGGAGACAGATTTCTCTAATAGATCTGGTTCAATCAGAGACATCAACACAAACAAAGATATTCTTTTCAAATATATCGAGGATCTTGTGCCAACAGATCCAGGGAGTAAGGATTTGTCCCATGAGTTGAACCGAATTCTCCGGATCTGTGATCTAACTGGATTAAGTCATGAAGATGGGATTGGACGATATATCCTTCTCCTGAACAAGGTAATCTATGTTTATTATTCTTTAATAAATAATACGGGTTCCAAAATGTTTGATACTGTTTATTCCATTTAAAAACATGATTTAATGCATATCTTGATTTTGGAAATCTGAGCTTATCATTGAGCAATCCTTAATCCTCAGTCCTCACTTTAATCATTATTTCAGACAAAACATTACCTCATGCTGATTTTGTATTTCAATTAAAATCAACCTTAATTCAAAGTTTAAGGTATTTTGGAAATAATATCAAGCCTCAAATTTTAATGTGTTTAAGATCTTAAAGTTTTATGCTTGAATCTCGTCGAATGAGCCTTTCTTTTTTTTTGTGGTTGAGATATTTTCCAGAAAGCCAACGTAAGGATGTCTAATTCAGTATTTTACAACTACTTTTCAGGGAAGTTACGAGAATTTTACTTTACAGAGGAAACCCCTGATTAAGTAAAAAATGTTATTTCGCAGAAAAAGTATTTCTACACAATTTGATAGTCTTCTTAGATAAAAACTTCTTGGCGCGGGTGGGTTTTTCACTTCAATTAATTATCCCAAGGGACATTAAGTTAGGGAAATCATATGTCGGTAATTTTTGTCAAATGGCAATAAAAATCAAAATATTATTTTAGCGAGGGTTGTACAAGGAGTCCCTAAAGGTTGCTGAAATTCTTCAAAGATCATCCTTAAACCCAACACTGGCAAACACACTCTACTCAGGAACCATTCAGAACTGGAACATAAAAATTCTAGATCTATAGAAATGCTGATGGCGGTTTTGGGGTTCCATAGGTTTTTTTGGGAACAAGGTTTTTATTCGCCTTTAAGGGACTACAAGCATAATTTAAAGTTACTAAAAATCGAAAGCTTATTTTTTAAGTTCATAGTTACTAAAAAGAATTGGAACATTTAAGGAAACTAGCCGAGTACTCGCCACAAACTCTTATTTTCCAATATATATATCTTTGAAACCTAATTTTGTAGACCTTTATTATTTCTATAAACTTGGTTACATTTTACAGTCAAATTTTGAAATTTCTAAGGTTTACGCCATAGAGCCCGAAATTTAAAAGCTTCAGCTCCAGTCATAATTCCTTAAACCCAGGTTTAAGGCTCAATCTTAAACCCGACTCTGGCGACAGCTTGAGTCACGTGATTGACAGCTGCGAGATCTTAGACTCGACTTACGACTTACGACCGTTATGAACTGGTTAACTAGTGGTGTACAACACCGAGGGCGTGGCAAGCCTGGGTGGGGAAGTTGGAACACTCCCTGATACCCTCTCCTCCCTGTGTTCCTCTTCCTTGGTTTACTGCCAGGATTCTGCTCTGATTGATACTCTAGAACTATACTCCTGGCAATCAATATCATCCAGGTTAAACAGCTAGCTAGCTTTCTGTATGTCTTCTTGTCTGTCTAGTTTTCTATCTGTCTTCTTGTCTGTCTAGATTTCTATCTGTCTTCTTGTCTGTCTAGATCTCAATCTGTCTTCATGTCTGTCTAGATCTCAATCTGTCTTCATGTCTGTCTAGCTTTCGATTTGTCTTATTGTATGTCTAGGTTTTTATCTGTCTTCTTGTCTCCCTAGATTTCGATCTGTCTTCATGTCCGTCTATCTTTCTATTTGTCTTCTTGTCTGTCTAGATTTTTATGTGTCTTCTTGCCTGTCTAGCTTTCTATTTGTCATCTTGTCTGTCTAGATTTCTATCTGTCTTCTTGTCTGTATAAGTTTTTATGTGTCTTCTTGCCTGTCTAGGTTTTTATCTGTTTTCTTGTCTTTCTAGCTTTCTATCTGTCCTCTTGTCTGTCTACCTTTCTATCTGTAAATCTGTATCTATATTTATCTATTTCTTCATTTTACTGTAAGAGATAAACAGGGGCTAAATAGTAATGCAGGGGGNAAGTTGGGCCTTATTCACTATCTATCTACAGTTCAAACTGTTATATACTCTCTGACCTAGGATTCATGCAGAGTCGCATGACCGGCGTGCCTACTCTTCTGCAAGCACTACATCCCAGGATGTTTATCAAGAATGGAAGTTTTCTCACGTATTTAAGGATAAAGTAATTATTTAATTAATTAATTATTTGATTTGATTTATTTCAAGTTTACAGAAAAATGGATTTTTAAAGATGTTATTTCATTTTTCATGTGTGTTTGTGTTATTTAGTATTTAATTCGAGATTTTTAGGGATCATTTTGCTTTTTTAGAACCCTCCTCAGCTTAGTGGCAGGGATGCCTATTTCAAAACAGGGTTACCCACAAAGGATGAGACTTAATGTATCAAGATTCGCGGTTTTCAAAACAAAAATGTCCACCTCGGGAATATATTAATATATTATTTGTATTTATTGTTCAGGGTTTACCCCTGGATGGAGAGGAGCTGCTACCATATTGTTACCAGGGTCTAGAGAGTGTCCTACCCCTGGTAGAGAACCCTCCTTTACAATATCTCCCCAGGAGTAATCAAACTACTGTAGAGGTAAAACATTTTATCAAAAATTATGTTTTAAGATGATTTTTTTACATTTCTTCTTTTGGGAGGCCTTGAAAAAAATTTAAAATATATTTTGTTTTTAAATTGTAAACACAATAACACATTTACAAGTTTAATCTCCTTGTAATAATTTCAACACAATGTTTTCAATCATTAACATGTTTAATCTCCTTGTAATATTTTCAACTCAATGTTTTCAATCATTAACATGTTTAATCTCCTTGTAATATTTTCAACTCAATGTTTTCAATCATTAACATGTTTAATCTCCTTGTAATATTTTCAACTCAATGTTTTCAATCATTAACATGTTTAATCTCCTTGTAATATTTTCAACTCAATGTTTTCAATCATTAACATGTTTAATCTCCTTGTAATATTTTCAACTCAATGTTTTCAATCATTAACATGTTTAATCTCCTTGTAATATTTTCAACTCAATGTTTTGAAATCATTAACATATTTAATGTCCTTGTAATATTTTCAACTCAATGTTTTCAATCTTATGGTTTTCTGGTTCTTTGTTTATGTTAATCCTTCAGTAACAAACACGACTGATACAACATGAAAAGTTTTTATTTTACTTTTTGTAACATTTTAATAAATGTTTTTTTATAATTAACATGTCATCTCCTTGCGACATTTTTAATTTTCCAAGGTTTGTGATCTAAATGTGACAACTCCTGATCTAGAATCTATCGGGAATGGAGTAGATGCCAGGTTTGTATTTATTCTGATCTTATTTTATTTAACATTTATTTTTTATCTATTTATTTATTATCACCTTATTCTGGTTGTGTATTTCAGGACTGTTTGTATTAACTCTGATTGTATATTTCAGACTGTTAGTATTAACTCTGATAGTATATTTCAGACTGTTAGTATTAACTCTGATAGTATATTTCAGACTGTTAGTATTTACTCTGAAAGTATATTTCAGACTGTTAGTAATAACGCTGATAGTATATTTCAGGACAGTTTGTATTAACTCTTGTTGTGTATTTCAGGACTGTTTGTATTTACTCTGATTGTGTATTTCAGGACTGTTTGTATTTACTTAGGTTGTGTAATTCAGAAAAGTTTGTAATAACTCATGTTGTGTATTTCAGGACTGTTTGTATTAACTCATGTTGTGTATTTCAGGACTGTTTGTATTTACTTTGGTTGTGTAATTCAGGACAGTTTGTATTAACTCATGTTGTGTATTTCAGGACTGTTTGTATTAACTCATGTTGTGTATTTCAGGACTGTTTGTATTTACTCTGGTTGTGTATTTCAGGACTGTTTGTATTTATCTGGTTGTATATTTCAGGACTGTTTGTATTTATCTGGTTATATATTTCAGGACTGTTTGTATTTATCTGGTTATATATTTCAGGACTGTTTGTATTTATCTGGTTATATATTTCAGGACTATTTGCCTGGATCTTGTTAGTTATGGAAACTCTTTAGTTTCAAGTCTTCAAACTGCTGGACATGCACAGCTAGGATTCCAGGTTAAACTTAATTAATTAGGTTGATTTAAGCTGAGTTGTCCTGAGCCGAGTTAAGCTAAGCTTAGCTGAGTTAAAATGAGCCGAGATGAGCTGGGTTTTTTTGGTTTGGGTTGGTTTGGTTTTCGGTTTGGGTTCTCGCTTGGTTTCTGATTTAGTTTTTGGTTTGGTTTCTGGTTAGGTTTCTGGTTTAGTTTCTGGTTTAGTTTTCGGTTTGGTTTCTGGGTTTGTTTTTGGTTTGGTTTCTGGTTTGGTTTCTGGGTTAGTTTCTAGTTTGGTTTATGGTTTGTTTTATGGTTTGATTTTTGGTTTGGTTTTTGGTTGGTTTTCTTGTTTGGTTTTTGGTTTGGTATCTTATTAATTTTTTTGGTTGGTTTTTTTGTTTGGTTTTTGCTTTGGTTTCTGCTTTGGTTTCTGCTTAGGTTCGATTTGACTTGATTTGATTTGATATTTGATTTTCTTTGACTTTTGACCGTGAAATAAAAAGGTTCTTGAGAGAGTTGAAAGCGTTCTTGATTCTCTTCTACTAGGCACGGATCCAGAGTTCCAGGTATTTAAAGTTAGAATAATAATAACAATAACAGCAGTTGAGTTTAAAGAAACAATTAAGTTTTATCTTTGAGAGGATCTTCTTGCATGAATATGTGTATACTGTACAGTTTTTAATCTCTTAGAAATACAAAGATTGAATTTTTTCTTCGAAACAAGAAAATGACAAAAATCATCTTTAGGATTGTAAAAGAATTATTTCTAGGGTCAGGTGCAGGTCAAGTGCTCACAGGTCAAGGTGAACCTGGTCTCTCAGCTGGCTCAGAGGATACTCTCGGATTCTAACCCTGAACCTAAACTCTGCCTAGGACTCCTCAATATTCTGGAACCTAAAACTGTTCTCTCTCTCCTTTCCAAGATTTATTTAGGGTTTGGGCAGGATTATAGGTAACTAGGCTTTAATGGAGCGTTTATTTGTATCCAACGTGAGATGTAAATTTTTGTTATGGTATCTCACGAGAGGAGGGGAGGCGGGGGGGAAGGCAAGCCACACCCGTAGCTTTTCCTATGTTGCGTAAAACGCGTAGTATGTGGTTCTTATGGTATTAAAGGTTAAACATAACTTAGCATTGTCGTAGGACGCTGACTTTTTTCATGCGAACTCACTAATATGTATTGTAAGTGCAAATTGCAATTTCAAATAGATCGGAGCAAATGTGTGCGCCCGCGCTTTTTGTTAAAAAACATGACTTTTTTCACGTTTTCAAATGTTTTACACAATTAAGAAAAAATAGAAATAAATTCATTTTATTTCAAGTTGGGCCTTATTCAAAACAAAGGTAGCATGCGATATATCAATTTACAGGAAAAATGGGACACGGAATTCATTTCCGAGGTCAAAATTGACCTTGAAGCATTGAGACCGGCGCGCTAGAAGCCAGATGTTACATTATGGGTCATCTTACCATCAGTTGTACATGCCGTATATCAATTTATAGGTAATTGAGCACGAAGATTCCATTTCTTGGGTTAAAAATCTTTTGACCACCCTGATCGGCGCGCTAATAGCCTACCGTTACGTTATGGGTGATCTTACAACAGATTTTGTATGTTGTATGTCGATTTATAGGTAATTGGGCACAAGGATTCCAATTTTTGGGTGTAAACTGTCGCAAGACCACTCCGATCGGCCCTAGCAACCAGCTGTTACTTATGAGTAGGAAGCGCTACGGGTGTGGCTTGCCTTTCCCCCCTCATCTCACATAAGCCTACGGAAGGTGTAAATTGTTGGTCGAAAACAAAGAATTTTGTCAATATAACAAATTTCGATTTAATTTTTTTGGAAAGTCCGCGAAATTATTAAAAATTTACATAAAAATGTCAGCAGACAACATTAAAAAAATCCATTTCTTAATAAACATCATGGTTTACTCAGAATCGAAAAAAGAATAAAACCACAAGCATAAATTGACTTGTTAAAAAGTTTTTATTTAAAGTCCCCCCTTTGGTTGTGTATTTCAGGACTGTTTGTATTAACTCATGTTGTGTNTTACTTTTGTTAGCAGCACCTAAACACAGGGGTGAAAACTATTTTGTTTGCAGCACCTAAACACAGGGGTGATAACTATTTTGTTTGCAGCACCTAAACACAGGGGTGATAACTATTTTGTTTGCAGCACCTAAACACAGGGGTGAATACTGTCTTGTGCAGGGATGATGAACTGATCCTTTACACAATATAGTGGCGTAACAGATTACTACTTTATATATATAGATAAATGTTTTTAAACTTTTGCTTGTAAAGCTCCATGATTTTCCATGTTTAAATATTAAGGCGGATAAGTAGTTTGGCAGCTGTAGGATATCAGTTCTGTAAACTCTTCAATCTTTCTAAACAGGTAGATATAAGGATTCAATAGAATAAAAATTTATCAAAAAATATGTATATTTTATATTAATAAAAGTTTCTTAATTTTCCTTGTGCTGTTTGTTTATCTTCAGTTTGGTCGTCCCGCAGTTTATCTTATTACATTGTACTGTACTAAACTGAACTGAACTGTACTGTATTGTACTTGTAGGGAGACCAGTTTCTTGAGTTGTTTATAAAATCCTCCTGGGGTAAACAATCCTCAGCTCTGGAGGTTCCCTTCAAGACAGCATTCTCAGGTAGTATCAAGGAGAAGGTTGATGCCCTGGAGCTCATGGTTCTCCATCCTGGAGCTACAGTAGACCTACTCCTACAGTACTCCAGAGCATTCAAGATCCCACCCAACCAGACCCTTATCCTTTACACCAGCACACTCTTCAGGTATACCAGCAGTGCCACCATATCTTTCTAAAGTGAGGGCCCGGGAGGGGGGGGGGGAATTTACAAGTTTTACCTGTTTTTGCTATTTCCTGCGAAAAATTATTTTCTCTCAAGGTAAAAGATGATGGCGTACCCCTGTAAGGCTAGTGAGAACTCCGGAACAATCCCTAGCTTCTTGATTTGATTTGATTTGATTTGATTTGATTTGATTTGATTTGATTTGATTTGATTTGATTTGATTTGATTTGATTTGATTTGATTTGATTTGATTTGATTTGATTTGATTTGATTTGATTTGATTTGATTTGATTTGATTTGATCTGATCTGATCTGATCTGATCTGATTTGAAGAATGTTAAAAGGTTTTTTTGTAAACTCCAGTATTTAAGTTATAAATATTTTGACGTTTGAAGTTATCTCATGTTTTTTATGATAATTATTTTGAATTTAAGAAAAATGGAGGCAAAGGTTGGAGAGGATGGAGAACTGGAGCAAGAGAACATTAGGTAAAATATTTTAAGTGATTTTTAATTTTTATTTGAAATCAAGTATTAGTCAAATTGAGAAACGAGAGAGAGAAAATGGCAAACTACAGAAACTTCAGCCAGGAGTGTATAGGTGGGGTATACACCCCTGCACACAAATGGAAAAGAAAAAAGGAAGTACAAGAAACATTGAAGGCCTGCATTAATCTTTTAAGGCTATATTAACCTGGAGAATGGAGGTTTTTTACCTAGCAGGATCCAGATGCTACTGGCAGCTTTAAATATACTCCTTAATAACAAGCCTGGTTAGCTGTTAAGTATCCAAACTAGTATGAAACACATTTATTCTTTCGATTGAATCTGGTTCTATGTGTAAGCATCAAGGGAGCTCAGAACAGTCAGGTTCTTATAGAACTCTCTCCAGTTTCTTGTGGCTGAACAGAACACTGTGTGGAATAACATGGCAGTACACCCTACTAGGAAAAAAGAAAATAATAGTGCAGAGTGGGGAGGTCTCTCTCCTCCTCTTCCCCCTCCCTCTTACCAGAAACAAGGAAAATGGAACCGTAGAAAGTAGAATGCTGACAGGTTGTGCACCATGCACTATGATACCGGTTTATACTCTGCCAGCTGGGAGGAAAAGATTGCTGTAGACAAGGCCGTATTCTGAAGCACTGGGTCCATGATGAACTTACAAGAATCAGAATTCTTTTGTCGAAAATATTTACTCCTAGCCTAACCTTTCTTATCCCATTATTATGAAGGCGGAATTCTGACAATGGATATCCTCAGAATTTTTAAACCCTGCTTAGCAGTGATTTTTATTTTTTTCCACCCTGTAAGAATATAATAAATATGTCTCCCGAGCCTTCCTTGTTAGCTGTGAGTTAGTGAGAAGAACTAAAAACAGATGTATGATCAGATAAAAAGAAGATACAATGGTGGGAGAAAAAAATTCAATGCTCTTTCCAAATTTTGTTTTTAGAAAAAATTTATTTAAAAATAAATTGTTAAAAAAAATGTTAGACAAATTAAAAAAATCTTTCACTTAATTTGGAAATGGCCCAAGCAATAAATAATAATGTTTTGTCGAGTTAGATAAAAAATATATTTATTTCTTAGCTATTTTTTTTGGAAAATATTTTGGGAGACTTCACAATTGGGGAAAATGTTGTTTGGGAATGAGCCAATTTTAAAGTTGCCTTTGTAAAAATTATTTGCGAGAAGAATCTTAAAAGATTTTAAAAATTAAGGTTTTAAACAAATATTGTAAAAAATGTAGTTAATTTCTTTGCTTCTTTAGCGAGATCCATGATAAGTTAAAGAAAGGACTTTGTCTGTTCTCTTCTAAGGAAGCAGTTTATCAATACCTTGTACAGGTCAGATTACATATTTTAATTTGATGTCTGGGGTGTATTGGATATATTAAACTTACATATATGTTCGTTTTCCTGACAACTGACAATTTGATGTCTGGGGTGTATTGGATATATTAAACTTACATATATGTTCGTTTTCCTGACAACTGACAATTTGATGTCTGGGGTGTATTGGATATATTAAACTTACATATATGTTCGTTTTCCTGACAACTGACAATTTGTCCATTTTATGACATTGTACAGGTCAGATTACATATTTTAATTTGATGTCTGGGGTGTATTGGATATATTAAACTTACATATATATTAGTTTTCCTGACAACTGACAATTTGTCCATTTTATGATATTTTATCAAAATCTTTCTATCGAGGTGACCTAAACTAACAGAATATTTAAATATTAAAAAAAGAATTTAAGATTAAGGAACTGAGTTGAATGCTTCCTGACTATTATTTTTTTAGGAATTCTCTAAAGTGAGTCCTTACAACTATGAGGCATTGGAGTTTATTCTAGAAGAAATCCATCAACACAGGTAAAAATACTAACTTAATTAAATAATTAATTAATCAATTAACTAACTGGAAAACACAGGGACCCGGTTGAAACTAATTTCAGGTACATCCACGTGAGAAAATTTATAGTCGTTGGCAAGAAAATCACGTCGGGGTCACCAAAATGTAGCGACGCAAAGAATGAGACAAATAAACAGAATAAATACATATTGAGTTCTAAGTTACAACATGGGATAAAATATCGATATGAAAATATTTGGCTTGGTCCTGAAGTGGAAGACGACAATTAGCTCCTCCACAATATACTAATTAGTAACCATCAGTGATAAACATCAAACAACCCTGTTTCGCTACTTAGCGATTTTCCTAAAGACCTAATGAAATCTTTATAAGTACCGTGCGGTATTTCTCAAGATAGGATTGTAAGCCTTCCTCTTCTGACCGCTCTCCATAATAAAGGATAATAATATGGTTCCGAACGTTTATTTCTCCGAGACTTCAATCTAAATAATTTTAATAAACCCACAGAAAAAGCATTGAGTGATAAAATCATACAAATACAACAAATAAATCAACTCAGGCATTAAAAAACTGTGGAATGGAACCAACAAATTACATTTATAAAATATCAAACCATAACCGAACATAAACAAACGATATTCATACATATATATAAAGAATAATTACCGCAGTGATCCTAGAATTTTAAGCACGGTTTAATAATAGACGAACTTGCAAGACAAACAAATATATACTAAACTACGGTAGAAACTGTCCGCTTCCACGCGAGAAACTTGCGCATGCGTAGTCGGTCTGTAAACAGCTTCTAAAACTAGTTTTTCACAATACGTTCTGTACAGATCCGCAGGGAGAACTCAGGAATTCACAGGGGCACCACATAGACTTCATACACGGAGCATGGCTCGCGTAACAAACCCAACAATGTAAAACAGATGTAGTATTTATGATTTTGGGGTTTTTCGCACAAAGCACATAGACATCGTACAATTAACAAAAAACATTTTTGCAAAAGTCTTGTGAATCTTACTTATCACATTTAGATTTAGTTTTAGCAATTATTTTTAAGTATAAAAGTGTACATTTAAAGTTTACTTAAAAAATCCGCGAAGACATTAATTTTGTTGACTTTAATTACAGAACAGAGAGTAGAAAAGAATAGAAAAAAACTATTCCTCGGTACGAATTTGTTAAGTCCATTTGAGCCTGAAAATGAGTTCGAAATGTACAGTTCACGTAAATGCTCACAAATTTTACGCAGTACATTACAATAAGACAGTATGATCCCTGGACATATCCGTTCCAATTTCTTCTTCTTATAAAGTTGCAAGATTAATATGTTAAACACATGTAATAGCTAGGTGAATCAAAACTATTATATAATTTGATTTAGAGAAAATAAAATAATTTTTAAGTAATTTTTTTCTATAAAAAGATGTTCCAGAATAAATGGAGGTTTATTTTCAGATATTCCACTCTATATTAATCTATTCTTTTTTACTTTAATTTTGCCTAGGATGAGTGGAACTCCGGCTCCAGAGTTTACGGAGAAAGCTTCCAGAATTTTAGGCTTCCTTCTGCAGTACAAAAGGTGACAGTTAATCCCTTCCCAATCCTTAGAAAAGTTTTTTTTGTGTTAAAAGAAAGTTTGTTACCGATTTTCTCTTAAATCTTTTAAAATGGAAGGAAAGTGTTTTAGGTTAAATCTGATTTTCCCCTAAATCTTATAAATGAAAGAAAGATTGTTAGGGTTTGATTTTCCCCTAAATCTTATAAATGAAAGAAAGATTGTTAGGGTTTGATTTTCCCCTAAATCTTATAAAAATGAAAAAAAGATTGTTAGGGTTTGATTTTCCCCTAAATCTCATAAAATGAAAGAAAGATTGTTAGGGTCTGATTTTCCCCTAAAACTTTAAAAATAATAGAAAGATTAAAAAGTTAAGTCCAATTTTTCCCCATACATCTGTTTATATAATCCTGCACACTTAGCAGGAAAGAATTTACGTTTTATGAATTAACCCACTGGTTCTGTCAACTGCATCTGGTTAGTAAGGCCCCCAGATGACTCATTTGGTATGCCATTAAAATCAGAAAATACGCCATTTTGAGAAAAGTTGATTAGTTGATTGAAATTTATTTTTCTGAGTTTTTCAACCCTTTTCTTCTCAAAAAATGTTTTAAAAGTATTATTTTTGCAACAGATACTTTAATACATTATAAGCTATATAAATAATATGCACATTTCTCAATTTTAGCTATTGTTTAGCTTAGATTGGAAATTACAATTTAATTTAAAACAAAGTGAAAAATTATATAATACATCTTTATTGTCTCAGTTAAAAGAAAAAATATTTTACATATCATTTAAAGATATAAAATGACAGTCGAATTTAAAAAGAAGAATATATGAATTAACTAAATGGACAGTATTTCCAAAAATTACAACTTGACGAATAGTGCAATTAGAAAACTTGATTTATACAACTGAATTGTGCTTCAATTTTATTACTTGAGTTTATACTTTATAACACATTGTTTTTATGGTTATTTATTTTCGCTTTGTTAGTTCTACATTGATAAATTTAGCATATGATGATAACAATTAAGCAAAAAAGCTCAAAACATTTTTAATAATCTCCCGAAAACTTCAGAGTCAAACGCCTTTTTAAAGTCAAAACTTTTCTCAAAATTACTACAAATCTACATGCTGGTGGTTTTGTTTTTTAAACCTACTTGATAGCTGAGGTGACCAGCGAACCTTAATTTTTGAAATATCTTGCCAGAATTGTCGTTGTTTCTGCATTTGTTGATGTAATCTCTTTTAGGATATCTTGCTCCTTAGGATACTCAACCAAGTTTAGATTTTATATATATATATTTATATTTTAGCTATAGCAGGCCAAACGGCCGGACCAAATTGGCTTATTTAGTAAACCGTTGGGTACCCAAGGGGTGAAATAGGCTAAACACGTGCAAAACCTGGCATTTCTGCTAAAATATTTAATATTTTAACCCTTGTAAACGGTGAAAGTAACGAAGATTATGAATAATAATATTAACCTTGGCAACACCGGACAATCCAGCTTGTAATTATTAATAAGAAAATATTTTAGCTTTTTCTGTCTTAAACCCCCCCCCCCATCCGTCGATCCCAATCCTTGCATGTTTTCATGAAAAACTAAGATTAAATGCAGTACCAAATATCTACGTTTTTTCATTATTATAGAGGTAGATACACTAAAAAATAATACATATAAAAAATGTCCTTATTGATAAACAGTTGTATTATGGTCTTTAATTGACAAAAAATCTTTAAAATTTTATTGATAAGAAAAAGGTTGAAAAACCTCAGTATAAATTGGATTTCAATCAACTTATCAACTTTTCTCAAAATGGCGTATTTTCTGATTTCATGGACATACCTCCTGAGTCATCTGAGTGCCTTACCAACCAAATCCAATTGACAGAACCTTTGGGATAATTCATAAAACCTAAATTCTTTCCACCTAAGTGTGCCTGAAAGAAGATGTTTTGTGATAAAACAAATATTAGAAGAGGTAAATCGGCATACAAAGTTAGGTCTGATTATTCATCCCTCTCCCCACTTATTCCTGAGGCGGAATTTAATGAATTTGATCCGTGGCTAGACGCGGTTTAAACATAGTTAGTTCATCTGGAAATTTTAACAAGTGTTTCTAGATTTTCCCAATTGGAGCCTTTTATTAACGGTTTAAATTCTTTAAATTCGGCCTCTAGATAAAGATTTTTAAAATCCTGCAATTTTTTAGAATATCCGCCCCCCAACCTGAGGCTGAGATAGATCCCTGGATTAAGGAGACTGGAACCTCCTTCCCCAGAATAGCACTGAGGAGATTACCCCTCTACAGCCTCATTGTCCTCCCTAATAAGGAGAAATGTAAACTCCTGGAGAAGGAGTTCTCCCTGGAAACCTACAGGTATTTTTTATTAAAGGTAAGTAGAGAGAATTCTTAAAAACCAACCAATTTAAATTTTCTGACATAATCTTTACTTAATTTCCCTTAAAACGGTCTTTGATTACGTTATTTGTATCAGAAAAAGTCACATCTCGATCATTATCATTTTTGTCTTTTTCAGACGCAGGATTGCGAATTGGAATCAATGACACATGTTGTTGATTCCTTTACTGCTAAACAATGTTTTTGTCATTGATGTTACATAAATTTTTCTACAAGGGGATGATTCATTTGGTGTACCGTCCCATTTGGTCTTATATAATCTTTATGTGTATTGTATTGAACAGCTTGCTCTAGCTGCTTTAAAGTCGGCCCTGTACTGTACTTGATATGAACTAAAGTTTGCAGTGATGTGATCATTTCTTATATAAAATATGTTAATCTGTCAAAAAAAGAAATAAGTTTTGTGAATAGAAAATGAATTTAATTTCAAGCAATCGCGCGACAAAGCCTGATTTGGTTTGAAATGGAAAAATTAAAATGCATGTTAGAATAGACCTTACTGATTTTTATGATTTTGATTATGATTTTTTCGGGAATATTGCAATTAGCGACCCCAAACTAAGAACGCTGTAAACTACGAACGTTTTTGACAATTTTCTTATCACGGGAGCAAAAGATCGGAAGTAAAGTTGTTAACGACCAATTTCAAATTCAATTCTGGTTTAGCCAAAAAGATCTTTCAGTTTTTTCACGAACACTCCCTTTAAATTTAGATCATGGAAGCTAGTATCTGGTAGTCTAGGAGTATCTGTGGACACTATCTGTATGTATACTGTTACTAATACAGTATCTAGTATACTAGACAGATCAAATAAGATCAATCAAGATGCCCAGGATCAATGGAGCATTGATTTCAACAATAGATCAGCGCTGGAGAATCTTATGGTAATAATTATAGCAATAATTACATATTTTTAAGCTACATATAATTGTTTTCTTTTATTGACTAGCTGAAGTGCCCGGCGTTGCCCGTATAATTTTGAAAACATTTTGTTAAAAAAAATATTTCAATTTAAAGTTTTGTTACAGATTAATATTTACAATTTAAACAACTATATCGGCTAAAAGAGAAGTTCTGCTATTATAGTTTTGAGATGTTTAGTATTCAAGTGTAGTACCTTTCATTTAAAAGAGTTGTTATATTCCTAGAGAACGATTTTTGAACCCCCCAGGCCCCCCCCCCCCCCCCTCCTATCAATTTTGTACATGGGTCTGACAGGAAGAGTCTTAACTTAACCTAACCTGTGGCCGCAGCGCTCGGCCCCCTAGCCTGTCCTAGCCGCAGCGCTCGGCCCAGAAAGTGTCTTAACCTAACCTAACCCTAAATAACAAAAAAATAATAATAAATTTGCTGAAAAATGAATGGTCATGTACAAAATTGATAGGAGGGGGGGCCTGGGGGGGTCCAAAAATCGTTCACTAGGACAGACCCAAAGAGTTGCATGACCGATTAACAACGGTTTCATTCAAACCATAATCAGATCAAAAATGTTGATGTTAACTCCTAGCTTTAATTCTAAAATTCCCTCCATTGCTTTTGAAGTTAAAATGTTATTTGAGAAAAAACAATTTAAATTATCAATTCTTCAAAGAAAGTATGATGGATATCTTCTGCATCAGTGTAACGTTGTGATGCAGTCTATTAATGCCGAGTCACTTGAAATTGACAATACCACCATTCTTTAAGAACTGACGAGGATATAAAATATTTCGAAATTAATTTCCAAACCCGAGTTTTCTACCTGTGAGAGTAAAACCTTTTCCTTGCCAGTTTGTACAATTTACAATTGCGTTTATAGTCCCTTTAATATATGTTTGACCTGTGTTCTGTATTAGAACTGTATCCTGGAGATGAAGAACCCTGAGAAGGCAGCTGCTGTCTCCTGCTGGATTGTAAACCGGTTACCCAGGGGTGCGGACAAGGTTCTAGCCGCCCACGGATACCTCCGCATGGCGGAGGCGTGGCTAGAGAAGGACTCGATGAACCAGGAGAGTAGGGCGGGGCTGGATATAGCTCAGAAGATGGTTGAGAAGCTTGAAACTGAGCAGGTTCTCTATCTGCACAACCTGGCGGTCAACCCGTACCTGGAGCTGGTGGAACAGAATAAACCTGTTGAACTTATCTCAGCTCTTTACGAGGATAAGACGATTATTTCAAGGAATAGAGTTGCTTCAGGTACTACAGGGTGTCCCAAATCATAGTGGATCGGGTTACAGCTTTAAATTGCGATTGCCGGGACAACATGTAAGAATGTCTAAAAAAACGAATCATTTAAAAAATTGTATATTGCTAATATATAGATTTGCATGCAGATAATTCTAGGTTATTCGGGTTTTATGTGCGTATTTTGTCGTTATAAGCTAGCTGGGAGATGATCTAAGATGAAATGAGACATTCTATATCTTACTTTTTAACACACAATTTAATACACAATAAAAACAAACTATATGTATTTATTTTATTTTTTAACACACAATAATAACAAACAATATGTAAGTATTTTTTTTTTCAATAACGGGGAAAACCAGAAAACTGGAATAGGAAGACGACATTACAGTAATACTTATTGGGAGTGTTCGCGATAAATGAAAGGGGGTATAGGTCTACGGCGAAAAATAATCGCTTTTGATTACTTATATTACTTATATTACTTAACACTTCTTAGGGGACTATCCTGATATCGCTGGGGCTGTGAAGGAAATAGTAAGGTAAAATATGGGATTTACACTTTATGTCAGAAAAATACAGATTCTTTAGATTTCATTGTCATTTATGTCACTTGTCCGTATGTATTCTTCTTCTTTATGCCCGTATGTATTTTCGGGTCAAAACATCGAGGAGTGCAGTTCTAGAATAGATTTATCCTGTAAAAAGTAAAATAAAGACAACCTTGACAATTCATTTGAAACAAATTTTAAAATATTGTTTTAGATTAATTATTTATAATTATTTTGTTCAGAATCAACCACCTTAACTACTCCAAGATGAAGTATGATCTATTAGACCGGTGGCTCCCTCTCTCCTCCGCCACCCTAGCCAACCAGACCATCTCCGACTTCACCCTGGAGACCAGGGAGGACCTGGATACAGAGGAACAGGACGAAATCCATCTACTCCGGTGTATCTACATACTACTTGACGGAGCAGAGGACGGGATCAGGTATCTATAAACTACAGTACTAAATAAAGTACAAGCCACTGGGTGACCCAAAAAAACTGGGGGTTAGCGTTTCAAATCCCAATAATATTTTAAATTACTTGAAAAATGCACTAGATTATAGCTTTTAATTTTAGAGGGGATCGTTTAAGTATCATTTTGGCGTTTGATGCTTGTGTTTGGCGTAAAACTCTGTCTAATTTTAAAACTTAACAATTGATAATTTTTATTATTCTATTCAAATCTATATTGTAGAGAGAAAACTACTTAACAATGCTTAGAAATAATAATAATGAATACTTTTACTTTAAGGTTTATATTTCAAACTATCTTAAAGAGGCTCCAATTTGATGCCAAGCAAAAAGATCGCCTATTTCTATTTTCCAAGGTTCATTAAAGCTGTTCCAATCATGGGGCCGGAATATCTTCAATTGGAATCTTTTTTAAGGTCTCTATTCATAAAATGCTGAGTATTGGACTAAGTATGCACCTTGGGTTTCAGAAAGCGCAGAAGAAAAATATCAAATAAATGTAATTTCAGTTTTTTAGCAATATTAGTTAGCTAAAGTTCACAGAAATATTTTCTAATATTCGACATAGTTTTATGCACCAAATGGAAGGATCGGACGACAAAAATTACTTTAAGTCCTAAAGGATTAAACTGGCTTAAAAATCCCAATCCTTGTTTTTTTTGGGGGGGTCACCCTGTACTAGTAAAGAAATAGAAAAGGTTTGAAAACTTCTTTAAACCTAAAATAATAAGATATAAAATTTAACGAACATAAACACGTATAAAACTATCTTTAGAGGAAAAAATGAACGTAATTCATAGAAAAATTTTATAAAAGATAACTTTTTTAGAGAAAATGAATAAGAAGATGTATTAAAATATCAAAATCAAATTAAACTTTAAATTAGTTTTTCTTGTATATATATTTGCAGAATTCAGGAATTAACTTACTTTTTTTCAAAGTTTTATTTTTTTTAAATCAAAGGAGATCCTATTTGTTAGTTAAAAACTTGTTCTCAAATCTTTTTTTTTTAATCTTTGCGAAGAAACAATTTCAAGAACTGACGAGGGTCAACCCAGACCGAAATATATTTTCAATAAATGTGGAACTAACATCTCCTTTTTTTCTCTACAGAGGTTTGGTCCATCACCATCACCGAATTTTAATTGTTCTCAAAAGTTTGTTAAAAATCAAACCCTCAAAAAAAGTTTAAAGTTTCACAGAAAAATGTTAAAACAGTTTACTTTTTTTAAGATTAAACAGATTTGATAAAGGGATGTGTAGACATATTAATATGACACAATCACAATAATTGATGGATAAATGTGGTCTTTAATTATTATGTTCAAAATGTTATTCTAGGACTTTTCTTGCACAATTTTATTGCATGAATAGTCAGTGAAAAAAGAAACAATATAATTTTTTTTAGATATTTGCTGAAGAGTGCAGTTTCGGATGATCCCCTTGTTAGCACCAACCATCGTTTGCGCGCGTTGAAATGCTTATTTAGCATCGCGAGCAGCAGCGAGCTGGAAGATTACACAGGAAGGACTGCAGCAGATCTCCGGACCTATCTGAAGAACCTGATTTTTATCTCCAGGATGGAGAACTTGAACCTGCCCTTCAACCTGCAGGCCTTCCAGGAGTACAACAAGAGCAGTCTAGTAGAAGGTTGGGATTCAGTTTTATAAAGCCTTTTTCAACAAATTAATTTTTACCCTCTCTGCATATTAAGTAGTAATATCTGTTTGTTTGTATGTCTTATCTTAACTCAAAAACTCCTAGAGTTTAATTATTCTATAGTGAGGAGGTTTCCGTTTATTAGAAAAACTTTTTTTTTTAAATAAATGATGCTGATGCTGAACTTAACTATACAGTATTTCTTAGATACATTTTTGTAATTAAAAAGAAAATCAACCAGAGAAAAAATTTTTATTTTTACGACTACAAAGGAACTGACTAACTAATAACTTGCCTGATATCAATCTTTGGCTGTTTGATCTGGTAAAAATATAATGTCAAAAATTAAATTTAAAAATAAAAGGATTAGAAAATTCGAATTGGTAACAAGTTATTAGTTTCTCCCAGGGAATAGAAATAAAGGGAAAGGAAATGGCGTTGGTCTGGCATGAGAAAGCCAGTCGCACTGCTTAGCAGACGAGTTCGGTATTCCTTACACACATTCTTTTGGTACAGACACACAACATGACTACAGTCAAGGAAAATGCAGAACAAAGTCGTCAATTATAATTAAACTTAAATAACGAGTAGCCTATTGTAAACTTTAATCAAATTATATTCTTTGCATGAAAATTTGGCTTAATAGTGTTGACTTAAGTATGTAAATAATATATTACATGTATATTAAACTTATTTTTAAGTAAACAATTAACAATAAGCAAATGTACAAATACTGTACAAATACCGAGATTCTTAAGTACTGTATACTATATACCTTAGCTTTCGTTCGGTATTCCTTACACACACTCTTTTGGTACAGACACACACATGACGTTTCCGCCCCCTGGTTTCTTCTTAAGAGTAGTCCTGTTTATTTTGGTTTACTGGATTTCCAGTTTTTAGGCCCAAACCAAGCTTCAATACCATACAGTGGTAGGCGATTATATCAATACAATGAAGGCGACTTTTTACATCAATTTTGATTTGAATTAAGCTGTTGAAGATCATGGATACACATAAACTAATAATAATCATGAGAAGCTGTCAACTAAAATAGCTTCTTCTTGATTACTTGTGAATTTGTAATTAATCTTCAGATATGTAGATATTCATGTCTTCAGATCTGTAGATCTTCATGTCTTCAGATCTGTAGATCTTCAAATCTGTAGACCTACCACGCCTTAAATCTGTAGATAAAATCTTCAAATAGATTGTAGACATACAAAGCCTTAAATCTGTAGATAAAATCTTCAAATCTGTAGACCTACAAATCCTTAAACCTGTAGATAAAATCTTCAAATCTGTAGAGCTACAAATCCTTAAACCTGTAGATAAAATCTTCAAATCTGTAGACCTACAAATCCTTAAACCTGTAGATCAAATCTTCAAATCTGTAGACCTACAAATCCTTAAACCTGTAGATAAAATCTTCAAATCTGTAGACCTACAGATCCTCAAATATGTATCTGACTAAATATTCTTGTATAGAGGATCTACCTAACTATATCTCCTTGTTTATAAAGGTTGTATCAAGTCTTTAATCTGTAGAGGTACAAATCTTTAAATTCGTTGATCTTCAAATCTGTATATCTTCAAGTCTGAAGATATCTTCAAATCTTAAATATACAGATCTTTAAATAAAACTGTAGAGCTTTACATCTTCAAATATTCAAATATTTAGAGCTACAAATCTTCAAATCTGTATGCTTCAAATCTTCAAATCTTCAAATTTGCAAGTTTTCTAATCTTGGAGAGTGTAGAGCTTCAAATAATCAAATCTATAGATTTGATATCTTCAAATCTGTAAATCTATAAATCTTCAAATCTTGAAATCTTTTTATAAAAAGCCCAGTATGAGAAACCATTATTGAGGAGAACTTGAAACTCTGAACTGAAATTTCCAGGCTTTCTTATAGTAAATCTCCAGATTTCAGATTTCAGATTTCAGATTTCAGATTTCAGATTTCAGATTTCAGATTTCAGATTTCAGATTTCAGATTTCGGATTTCGGATTTCGGATTTTGGATTTAGGATTGGATTTGACCCATTGATTGTCTTGGACGATAATATTAGATATGAAAAGAGATTTTTCACAGAATTGTAATTTTTATTCTTTCTTTCGGATCCCTGATATCGCAAAAGAAATAAATTATAGAGAGGCTAACCAAACCAGCATGATTTATTTTGAATTATTTGATACCATATCTATCCCCTCCCATTGAATGATTCGCAGAAATTAAAATGAACTAGTTATTAGCAACACCTACTCAGTTTTACTTTGCCTATCAACATCCTTTTGGTTGTATCCATAATAGGGACCAGTCACGGTTTAAAAAATGGGCACACTAACACATCATTCAGTTTTTTGTCCTTAATTCTCTCATATGATTCTCCGTCCAGTTTCTTTTCTTGCTAGCAGTATTTATACCAATTTGAAATTGGGTATTTTTATGCGAAATTTCGGGTTTTTATAAAAAAGAAAAGTTTGATTTATGATTCAATTATGGTAGAAATAATTATGGCAAGGATAACTTAAAGCATAAGTAATTAATGGGAAGAGTAATTTTGGCAAACATATTTATGAAAATATTATTACAATTAAAACTGAGCCATAATCACGGAAGGGTGTTATTTTTCCGAAGAAGGTGGGGGGGGGGGTCCAGAAGAACTACGATGGAAGGGCTAAACATAGTAATATTGATTGTTTGATATATCTAGGTATATGGAGAACTTGTAAACACAGTGTAGAGGGTGTAGTACTAGTTCGAGATCTCTGCTATGAGTTCAGTATCTGGGATATCAATCTTTGGTCTGCTCTACTCACCCAGATCAATAAATTCAGTATCTACAAGGTTTGTATGAGCAACATTATTAATAACTATTTTTTGTTACAAAGCTTTTACATTAAAGGGAGTGTTCGCGAAAAATAAAAGAGAGTATATGCTTACGTCGAAAAATATTCGATGCTGATTTAAAAAATTAAATGATCAGAATGATAATAATTGTCTATGATTATGAATCCAACAATGAGCTTGATGATGTTAATGACAATGATAATGTTATTGTCTTCGAAATAATTATATTGAAGAATTTATGACAGTGATGATGCTTTTTTTCACTATAACTATATTGAAGATGTCAGCAATGAATATATTTATTGATGAAAATGATGATTATACTGATGATAATGAATTTGTTAATTTGTTATTGTTTTCGATAATAATGATATTGAAGAATTCAATAATGAAGATATTGATGACATTGATAATGCTATCGTTAACAATAATAATTATATTTAAGATTTCAGCAATTAATATATTGATGATAAGTATGATATTAATGACAATGGTTTGTTATGTTTCGATAGTAATGATATTGGAGAATTCAATAATGAAGATATTGATGACATTGATAATGCTATTGTTAATAATTGATGGCAATGATCATCACCATAGTTTCAGTAGAAGTAAACATTTCCATTTACTGTTATAGCGCCGATATAAGGATTTATCTCTAATTGGATAATGAGCTAGATAAAAAGAAAGACGTTACCGCCATGCAATATCTATTGGTTCAGAATAGACATCAAGCGCCTCACTAAATTTTAATACAAGCTAGCCGGTGCCCTTCCGTCAATTCCATTAAGTTTCAGCTTTGCAACCCTGCGACTTTCATTAAAATTCAAAGTTTCTTTGCTCATCAAACACATGACTGAACCCTGATTGGATCAGGCGCTAATGGACTTGGCATACTATATCATGACGATGATAATATTGACAAGGATAATGATATTGTAGATGAAAATGATTATATAATCTTAATAATCATAATGATAATGATAATGATAATGTTGACTATCCAGGAGCTGGAGAAAACACTGGTTTTGTTGAGCTCCCAGCCCCAGATATGGAGTTCACCGCAGTTTATTTCCTCTTGGAATTCTCTTCTCCTCTCTCCATTCATCTCCTTAATTTCCCCTGTGTCAGGTATTACTTTAACCCTGAGACAATTCGATCATTTTTTTCAAAATACACCAACATGCAACAAAAATTTTCATTTAGAACCTAAAAATAATTTAATGAATTCAGTGCTTCAAGGCGGATTTTTTTACCCATTTTGATTTTTTGAAGTTATATGTTTTGTTTGCACCTAATGGTTTTATCTCGACAAAAACGTAAAAAATGTAACGCGCTGAATGAAATTTAAAAGTAAGCCAAAAATACATTTTTTACTATTTGATACAGAAAACTTTGAGACGCGTGCTAAAAGTATCTGAACATTTTTATCAAAGAAGTGCCAAGTGGTTTCACCCTTGAATTAACTTATATCCATCTCACTTTACAACTAGAATGGCAAATTATTATCAATTAAAAAACAGCTGAATCGTATATTTTCTTTATCTTACTGATCAACAGCAGATTTTTTGCCTTTGATTGGGCGATTTTTCCAGCATTCGCATCTTTTATTAATTAGAGTTTGATACTTTGATCATCCTAAAGGAATATGTTTAACCTTTAGGACCACAACGGATTCGGAGTAATGGTTTCTTAGGATTTTATCAATAAATAAGTCTGGAACTCTTTCTTAAACCTTGATCTAATAAAAAATCTGATTGATATTTAATAATGATATTATGATTCTCTTGTTTTTGTGGGTATTTTTAATATTCATGGATATTGGAAACGCTTAATGGACAGGAGCATAGGCCCCAATTTCATCGAATATACGGGTTGTCTTTTAAAAATAATAATATTAATGATTAATTGCTCTTTAGTTGAAGATGAGGGCAGAGTAAGGCATGTTCTTCGTCTGGTTCATACTTGTCCTACTGCTGGAGACCTAGAACTAGAGAAGGTTGCGGAGGAATGCCTTAGAACTGATCTTGCTCATCTAGCAATCATACTTCTACCTTACCTACCACAGGTATTTATCTAGCAATCATACTTCTACCATACCTACCACAGGTATTTATACTTTTACCATACCTACCACAGGTATTTATCTAGCAATCATACTTCTACCATACCTACAACAGGTTTTTATACTTTTACCATACCTACCACAGATATCTATCTAGCAATCATACTTCTACCATACCTACCACAGGTTTTTATACTTCTACTATACCTACCACAGATATCTATCTAGCAATCATACTTCTACCATACCTACAACAGGTTTTTATACTTTTACCATACCTACCACAGATATCTATCTAGCAATCATACTTCTACCATACCTACCACAGGTTTTTATACTTCTACTATACCTACCACAGATATCTATCTAGCAATCATACTTCTACCCTACCTACCACAGGTTTTTATACTTTTACCATACCTACCACAGGTATTTATACTTCTACCATACCTGCCACAGATATCTATCTAGCAATCATACTTCTACCCTACCTACCACAGGTATTTATACTTCTACCATACCTACCACAGGTATCTATCTAGCAATCATACTTCTACCCTACCTACCACAGTTATTTATACTTCTACCATACCTACCACAGATATCTATCTAGCAATCATGCTTCTACTTTACCTACCACAGGTTTTTATACTTCTACCATACCTACCACAGGTAATTATACTTCTACCGTACCTACCACAGGTATTTATCTAGCAATCATACTTCTACCATACCTACCACAGGTATTTATTTAGCAATCATACTTCTACCCTACCTAGCAATTGCTTTATTTACCACAGGTATTTAAACAGACTTGCAAGCATCAAACTTCTACCGTAATAACCACACGCATTTTTTCTTAGAGGCAGTTTCAAATACTATATTCTTCTATGGAAAGAAAAGTTTTGAGGATTTCTGATGATATATGACTGTTGTTTTGTTTAGGTTCATGGGTCAAGGTTGCGTGAGCGTATTCTGAACCAGGTTTCCCAGGTAGAACTGACCAGCAAGCTAGAGGAACTGACTAGGCTAGGTTTCCCTCTGCCTCAGGGGATCAGTAACACCTGGAGAACCAGTCCTGCTTTGTAAAACCGGACAAGGATTGATTCCTATAGATTACGGGTTCGGTATCCTGGTTTTTGGGACGGACAAGGCAAGGTTCCCTTTTCTCAGGGTCCTAGTTATACTCGGAGATTGATTTCTACTTTGATTTCTACGGAGTTGTTATAAAAAGTAGAAAATGTTTTACCTTATTTTTTACAGAAACTTTTTATATCGTAAAGAAGAATATAACAAAAAATTATAAAATGATTTACAAAATAAAATCTATAATTTCAGAAGTAGAATGGACAAGGAGGTAAAGCTTGGTTGTAAAAAATGCGGTTACCCTGGGCACTTTACTTATGAGGTATGGAGTAATAGATTAATAACAATACAGATGGAACACTAGATGTCATCTTTTCAAAATTTGTTCACAATACTCTGAGACAGAAACCCAAAGAAGTTACGCACATGCCGCGTTTAATTACAAAACACAGGGAGAGCTTCTAGTGTTCTATCTGTATTGTCTTTAATCTATGTCTGGAGTATCCCGGGCTAAAATAAAATATTTTGATAAGTCACATCTACCTATAATTCTGTAATAAGTATAATAATAAGTATTGTGAATCGATTTTTAACTTTTGATAAAACTTCTAATATTTCAAAAATTTAATTTTGTTAAAGTTTGCACTGTAAAAATATGTTCAGTTTGTTTTTTGTATAATTTTTTTAATTTTAAGGTCTTACAAGAAAAACAAGAACAAACAATTTACAGGGTCTCTTTTTATTGGGGTTTTTGAGAGATAGAAATTGCTAAATAGGTGTTCGTTGTTTATATTTTGGTGTGTTTGCTTAGTAGGGTACCCCAAAAAAGATCAAATTGGGATATTTGTATGATGCAGACCGGAATGAAGTGATATTTAGTCATACAAATTCAGAGGAAACATCACACTCATTGCTCCCTAACATCTGTAAGCCCGGATTGGATACCCCCAGGTACCTATAGCTGGCAACCATAGACTCTTCCTGCTTGTCCACCATTCCTCTCTTCATCATCATTCACTCGGATCAATCCCACTTGAAGCTTCTTTCTTGTTGAATAGAAAGCACGCACCCTTTCGCTGCGAGAGTTGTTGACAGCCGCCCCTCTGTCCTCCTACATCCGTCAGGTGGTCATAACTGCTTAACCAGATGTCGGCTTCAGATGTTTTTGAAACCACAGGTTTGTGTGGAGTACGGGAATCGAACCCGTGAACACCAGTCTGGACACCAATCCAGTTACTGGCTGTGGACAAGTGTGCTTAACTTCAGTGATCTAACGAGAACTGGTGTCACACACTCTCCACCCCACCCCACAAAAAGATTTTTTTGGGCCATTGGAGTACCAAAAAAATACAAATTTTCAAAAAATATTGAAACAAATACTATAAAGGAGAGTTGCACAAAAAAGGTACAATTTTGTAACAGGCGCCGCAAATCACACTTTTTTTTTACTCACCCTGTATCATTTTCTTTGTTTAATTGTCCAAGAAGATTAAATTCATCGAAATTAAAAAAAATTAAAACCAAAAAAACCGTTAAAAATGCTTGTTTTCAGGAAAAGTACTTTTTTGAGGTTTTTGAAACTGATTCAGTAAACTTGGGAAATTTTTCAAAAATTTCAATGAATTTTATCTTTTTGGACAAATACGAGGAAATTATTTATCATTCAGTTAAAAACTGAGTTCTTAATACTAATATTTTTTAGTGCAGAAACTTTGTAAGATTAGATGCTGCTAAAGAACTAACATTAGATATCAGGTATATATTTATATATGTATGAAATAGGAAGACGACTTAATAGCAGTACTTTAGTGAATTTGATGCTGTTACAATGCAAATAGTTTTACCCTTATTGGATCACTATTCAAGCTAACTAAGTCTGTGTACACTGCACAATTGCTGTATTCCATGCTCATTGGACTATTCTAAGTTATAACTTGAATTTTTAAAGTCGTCTTCTTATCCAGAGTTTTCTGGTTATCCCTGTAGAAATATTAAACTCGTTTAGTTTTATTTAGACTTTTCTACTAAAGAAGTTGGAAAGCTTTTAAAGTAAAAAAGAAATGAATGTGGAGGAAGAAAACATGTTCTTTTCAAACCTGCATTGTATATGTACAGTTACTTTTTTAAACATATGATAAAATAAATAATTTGCACAGTGGTTGCCATTTTGTCGAGGAATTTTTTTCTCCCGGTTCCTGCCATTATGCCATCACTGTGTTAGTTCCGCGAAAATTCCGCATTTTTTATTTATTTCGTTGAAAAAACGCGCAAAATTCCGCATCGCATTTATCTGTTTCGCACTAAAATGCGGAATATACCGCGAAAAAGTTTGCGGAATACTCAACCAAATTTTCGCATTTTTGTGCGAAAGTTTGCTTCCTCTGTAAATCTTAATTGATACTGCCTAAATCTTCTAGCACCAGCAAACCTAGAAGCAATATTTTAAAAGAATGAAATTATCGAATTAAAAAATCATTGTTGATTAGGGAGGCCGACAGAATATTTATTTCCTTGCATGACTGATTTTATCCGAGTAAGATAAGAAGTTAGAAAAGTATCCTAAAGCTATTTTCACTTGTATTAACTTGGTGAACGAAGAATTCAAGCAAATTATTGTTAAGTCCAATATATTCGCTTTTTAAGGGGCTGGCGTAATCTATATAATAAAACAAGACATTCGTATATATGTTGCGTATAGTCGGCCAAACGGCTGGACCGATTGAGCTAAAAAAAAACCATGGATATCTAATTTATATTTGATCGGAAAAAGCTTCTAAAGGTATTTTTGTGAATAGGAAATGCTACTTAATGGAGGGTTTATAGACCCCTTAATCCACTTAATCCACTTAATCCACTTAATTCACTTAATTCACTTAATTCACTTAATTCACTTAATTCACTTAATTCACTTAATCCGTATAAAGTGATGAAAATAAGAATTTGTATTTTCAGTTCCACGTCTAGTGACTCGGATTCCGATACCCCGCTTCAAGCTCTCAGGAGATATGAACTAGAGAAGAAAATCAGGGAAACATGATCAATTCAACCATTTTTTTACATATTTTTGGTATTAGCATTTTCAGGAACCAGGTTTAATGAAGAGAAGTTGCTGAACCGTGCAGACGTAGTTTAACCACTTTTCTTTTACGCAAGTTCCGGCGGAAGAGAAGTGGCTGAACCACGATTACACGGTTCAACTACAGTGAGAACCGGTAAACTGTTGAATAGAAAGACGACATTATATCAATATTTAGTGTATTTAATGTTGTAGCAGAGAAAATAGTGTTACTAGTAACATATTAAATCACTTATCAAGCTAATGGGGTCTGATTACACTGCACAATTGGTGTATCATGTTCAACTCCTAACTTGAGTCTATAAGATGTCTTTCTTTTTCAGAGTTTTCTCCTTCTCACTGTATGTGTTATGCTATTAATTAGATCTGGTCCCAACTTTTTTCAAGCCTTTCGCAATAATCTAAAACACTGTCAATTTAAAATGACAAAGGTTGTTGCCAAAATATCAATTGTTTGAAAGTATGTAGATTTAAGTTTTTAGTTTTCCTGAAATAATAACTTTATCATTATTATTTATTTTCTGAATACAATCTCCAAAAAAATTAAACTTTTTTAATAACTTTTTAAAGAAAGATCCAAATTTTTGTTCACGTCAATAATACAATTTTTTTCAAGAAAAGCAATTACAATCATTTTATGTTTACTCAGCCATTTGCTTATTTTTTTGGAAAAAAAATAAAAATTTTACATATTTTTTTCCGCTGGATACATGTTTACTAATCAGGGAGAAGGAGGAGGAGAAGGAGAGAAGAAGAAAACTGAAGAAGGAAGGGAAGAAGAAGAAGAAAAAGAGAGAGAGAAGTAGATCCCGCAGTGTAAGTTCTTCTGATTCCGAAGATGAGAGAAGAAAGAAAGCTAAGAAGAACAAGATTAAAAAGAAGAAGAAGAAGAAGAAGAGTAGTTCAAGTTCTTCAGAATGATAGTTAAAATTCTTTTAAAGATGTGAATGTACATTTTCTAAAAGGACTGTAAGCGAAGATTTCAGTGACCCTCCATGCAAGTTTATCAATGCCGGATTTACAACGGTACCCTTGAAATATTTATCTCATCAAAAATGTGTAAGATAACAGTTTAAACAAAATTTCATTAGATATCTAAATCATACTTGATGAGACGAGTGTTCAAGGATCAGCCGTTGCTATCGTTCCATTGAGGGCCACTTTAGATTACGCTTAAAGCCCCTTTAAGGGGATGGGGGGGGGGGTATCTGTACCTGAATTTTTTATACGGGGAGTTCTGTTAACATAGATGATTTTTAATGTTTCCAAATAGATTGCTTGAGTTAGTTTATTGTTCAATAAACATTAAGTTTTGTAACAATATTAAATTTTAACATGATTTTTACATATATTTTACATATTTTGAAATTTAGAAAGAGATCTTATTTGTCATAAAAATAGTATGACAGACCCCCCCCCCCCTCGCCTTGTTGAAGTGGGTCGAACAAAAATCTGAATTAAGCAAAAAGTAATACTAAATAATACTAAATGAGGAAGTCGATAGGATTTGTAAGATTTGTAAAAACATAGAAACCAAATCCATCCGTAATGAGTCGTCATATTCCGGCTTAACAGGCTTAGTAAACCTAATTTAACCAGTATTACGAGTTATTATGCATATAAGTAATGTAGGTTAAAACTATTTTGACATTGCATGTCCAGCTTTATATGTAACATTAGCGACATGTCATGTTTACTTCTTTGAAGGGATGAAAAATAAATATTCTGAGCTGGGTACTTTGTAATGCCTAGAATGAGTTAATCTAGCTAGGTGAAAGTGATTTGTTTGTTGAGTGGTTCATCACAAGATGAATGAGGTCTCACTCTCTTATGTACTTAAAATCGAATAATTTGAATATAATCTACTAGCTTGGGAACCCAGGCTTTACCTGGAAACTAAATCTGCTTTAAAATTCGGAACACAAATTATTTTGTTAAACCAAGCTTGGCACGTTCCCGTGGTTCTACCGAGATCTCTAATCAAAGGATTCCTGAGTTATGATCGGACATACGAACAAACGGCGGTTAGTACTTTGTACAAATAGCTCTTAAGTCAATTTCAAATGAGTTTTCCTTTTAAGCGAGGTTGAACTTGTATAATAAGCTTGGTTCCTCTCGATGCACGAAAAATGACGTATCCTTAGATAGATAGATTAAAACCTCATTTGACATCACTTCCGCCACTATATTTCGTTACGGGTAATGTTACATCGTCATACGCAAGATCCCCCCTACTGAACTTCTGACCTACTAACTTTCCGACCTACTGCAATATCGGACCTACGCCAGCTGTTTATTTTAGTATTATTTGAGGGTTAGGTTAGGTTAAGACAATTTATGGGCCGAGCGCTGCGGCTAGGACAGGCTAGGGGGCCGAGCGCCGCGGCTAGGGGGCCGGGCGCTGCGGCCACAAGTCCATATAGCAGCTGTAATACCACGTGCTAGTAGGTCGGATGTGTAGTATAGCGGATTTGGCGTAGGTCAGAAGTGGAGTATGGCGGATATGTGTAGGTCGAAAAATACACCACCGCATCACGTCATATGAGGTTTTTATCTTTATATCTGAGGAGACGACATTCTCCGTACAGTGGAACGCATCGAGATCGAGAGGAACCCACTGTATTATACAACCTTGGTTTTCAAGTCTTCCATTTAAAATTCGGTGATGGTGATGGACCAAACCTCTGTGGAGTAAAAAAAAGTAGATGTTAGTTCCACATTTATTGAAAATATATTTCGGTCTGGGTTGACCCTTGTCAGTTCTTGAGATTGTTTCTGTCACAAAGATTAAAAACAAAAAGTCTTCCATGTTTTGAAATACAGCTCCTTTTATTGGAAGAGTTATTTTGAAGAATGATGGATTTGTAAACTTTATTAGAAACAGAAAATATTTGCTTTTTTAACTCTTGGACGCAAAATTAAGGTGAAATTTAATGTTGTCATAGTTTAAATGTTATAAGCGATATTCCAAAATTTAGAAGACTGGAAGGTAGGATTAATATTGATAGTAATTCCCTTGTACGATTAGATATTAATCATTGTATATCTATATATATACTTTGATTGACTGTCGTTTGTTTTCAATAAACGGCTGAACCGAATCGGGCTTAAAACTTTTGTGGGACCTTACGTGACCCCAGCTGGAAAGTTTAAGGATGATCGAATTTTCAAAAACTTTCCTGTGACAAAATTCGATTCTTGAAAATTTTGAAAATCCACGAAATTTTTTTTTAATTCCGTGAAACTTTTGGTTTGTTTTTCTTTTACAATGTACACAAAGTGAAAATGTTCAAAATCGAAATAGAAGATGAGCGCGAAGCGCCCTGAAAGCCTTGTAATTATAATTTATATACAGCAATAACAAAAAATAAGAAGACCACTTTGGATTAAAGTTATGACATAATATTCTTATAAGCATGAGACACACAAATATTGCAATGCAGTGTAAACAGGTCACTTTCACTTAATTATGGAATGGATAAGTGTCCAGTAAAGCTACGTGCTTTTAAACAACATTAAATATACATTAGTAATACTTTAAACTCATTTTCTTATTTCAGTGTTTTCAGGTTATCACTTCAAGGACTGCTAGAGTGTAAAGTGCTCAGCAATTAAAGATGAAATCGCGTTATCAAGTTCAAATATTTTTGGAAAATTTTCATTTTGTAAAATTAATATTTGCCAGGATCTAAAAGAAAGAAGAGGAGTGATGTGGTATATTCCTGTACGGATTGTGAGTATGATGCAACTTGAGCAGGCAATCTGAAAATCCATATTGAAAGTAAACACAGCGAGTGAAATTTCCTTGCTATGAGAATGCTGCAACTACAGCAGGCAATCTAAAGAGAAGTGTTGAAATTAATCACAAAGGAGTGAGATACCCTTGCTCTGAATGTGAATATTCTGCAATCCAGAAAAGAAATCTGAAGAAAATAAAAAAAAAATAAACAAAGTAGAAAAACATCTCTTTTCTTATTGCAAACATACATAGCGTCCCATATCATATTAAAATATATAAGTTTTAACACCAAAATAAAACCATAATACTACAAAAAACTAGTATTTTCCGCAAGAAAATTCTTATTTAATATTTCAAAATGATTCATTCTTCTTAAATTTTCTGATTAGTCCCGAAAATCGTAATTTAGACCCATTGACGATCTAATTTGATGTGGGACACCCTGTATATAAGCTAGAGAACCTGAAGAAAGGATAAAAAATATCTATGATCAATGGCTATCAAACATTTTTCAAATGGGTATCACAATTTCAATTGACATATTTATAGCATATTCTCAATAATTGGTAATTTCTTCATGCCTAACATTATACTACAGTCATAGCCATTAAACTCTGGAATAGAAAGACGACTTTTAGACTGAAGGTATGACTTTAAATCGTCCAATGACCAAAAAAATTGTCCAGTGTAAACAGGTAGGTTTGTCTTAATAAACGATTTGAAAAGTTTCTAGTATAACTATTTGCCTTGTAACAACATCAAATACACTCAAGTATGTCGTCTTCCTATTCCACAGTTTCCAGGTTCTCACTCGACTACAACATGTTTTCCTGGTTTTGTTTATTCAATAGAGGATTTTATCAATCAGTTTTTACCTTTTTTTCTATAAAATATTTTTATTGCTTAAAGTGATGTCCGGCCCACCATCTAAAATTACTAATTAGGGATAAAGATTTTTTATATTTCAACTTTTTAAAATAAAAATCCGTATGTAAATTTTGAAATGGAATAAAGTTGAAGCTTAACATGAATAGTTACATATCTATAGGTTTTATCGAACTGTCCAATCAATTGCAGGAAAGTTAAAGTCTCCAACAAATAAGGAATTTTTGCCGGATGATTTTAACAATTTGCAGAGCTCTAATGTGTATCATGATACAGAGTGTCCCAATAAACATGGGAATTCGATGACGACTTTTATTTTGTCTTCGACTAATGCGGCATTTATTCATGAACACTATTATTACAGTATTCCATGCTTAAACGTCTAATATCGAGATGGTCTTAAAATTTTCAAAATGTGGTCTACCATTTTTGTAACTTCCAAATTGACGGAGATATTGCGAAATTTGAAATTTCAATTTATTTAACAAAATCAAAATTGTCTTAAGTTAATTTTTAAGACACTAAAGAAAGGTAGACCACTTTATAAAGCTCGTCAGACGTACAGCCTCGTTTGTTTACTTTCTGAGCATGCATTAAATATCAGAAATAAAAGACGACTTTCAATTCGTCTCTCAATTCCCATGTTTATTGGGACACCCTGTAGACAAAGGTCCGTAATATTTGGAAGTGGCACGTGCGCTCGCCCCCCCC